TCCCACTGTAAGCTCTTTTGAGGGCAGAGACCAGGTCTTGTATCCTGCATCTCCCCTACATCTAATACCTAACTAGGTTCTCTGCACAAACTAGGTACTCAGATACATGTTTATTAAATAAATAAAGCAAAGCAAGTGGCCGAATTTACTTCTATTAACTCAGGTGGGTGAACCATGATGATAACATTAGAGAGACATGAAAACTGAGATCCAGCTTCCATTTATGAAATGGGCTTTTACAAGACACTGGATGTGAAAATTGCTCAATTGCAAAGGAATAAAATGGAATACAATAAAATAACATTACTACGCCATCGAATAATCTTTCCATGATTATTCAGCAGGAACTGGCTTTTAGCAACAATGCAGCATAGTTTTATTATTGTAAACATTGATTTTTATTGCAAGGCTATTAGATGGTGAGATCCGTGAGGGCAAGAACTGCACATCAGTCATCTTTGCAGCCCAGTGGCCAACGTGGTTTGTGGCATAAAGGAGGCACTCTTCCTGACAGGCAGGAAGAGGGTGGGGGAGGGAGAGGAGGAAGAGGAGAAGGAGGGAAAGGAGGGAGGAAGGAAAGGGGAGGGAAAGATAGACAAGCAAACTATGGGTATAGAAGAATGGGCCAAATCTTTATTTACTTTATAAATGTGATACGAAAATGTCTTTAAATACAATTCCAGTCAGTGGTGCAAATTAAAACATTGAGGGAACCGCAGGATTTATTTTGAAAAACCAGGAAGGGCCTGAATTCTAATTCTAATCTTGCCATTCACCAACTCCCGTCTTGAAGGAGTCAATTAACCTCACGGTGAATCCGTTTTCTCATCTGTAATATGGGGTGGTATCGCCTGCCCTGTTGTCCCAAATGAAATGAGTTGGGTGAAAGGGCTGACCCGCAGTCCAGGGCTCTATACACTGAGGGGTTACTGTGTCTGAGGGAGGGTCACTGCACAAAATGCTGGGACTTTGGGGACAGAATTTAATTACGCTTCCTCCTCCAAAGAGTTCCCCTTTCTCTTCCTTGATAGTTGATGAGTTTCTCACAATCTCCCTCAAGCTTTTGTTCCACAAAGCACAGTTTGGACAGTTCTGGGGTAGGCAGGCAATGAGTGTGGTCAGTTTCCTCATCCACAGGGGTGGGTCTAGGCTTTTCCCTAAGGGTCCTCTCAACTCTGACTTGAAAAGTACTCCTCTTCCAGTCCAGCCTAAGGGCTGGCCTAGGGTGACCATCTCATTCAGATTTATTTTCTTGGCTTTGGCACAGGAAGTCCCGCCTCCCAACACACCCGATGGCCTCGTGGGCAGCTCAGCTTACCCGCAGAACATGAGAATGTTGTACAAGGCGGGGTCGTCCGGGAAGGGCGCCATCTGCTGGAGACACAGCTGCTCACAGCCGCCATTGAAGCCATCTGAGCAGTCCACCCCAATGTGGCGGTCATAGCAGCCCGAGCTGTCCTTCATGGGGCTGAGTCCAGATGGGCACTGGCGTAAACAGAAAGCATCCACACAGATGGGTGAATTGGGGGACTGGGTTCTCTGGAAAGCTGGAGCGCAGCCACGAACGCCTGTTTTTAGCACTTAGCCTTGAAACCATTAACATTGGCAAATAATGCACAAATCTCTCACTATGCTGGACTTCCTTTAAAAGCCAGTGACCTTTTTGACTTCTAGCTTCTCCTCTCTGGGCATAGATCACACATATTCGCATTAAAGCCAATTCCTCCAAATAGGCTAGATGGGAGCGTTGTAGCAAGATGGAGGGACGTGTGCTGGCCTCCCAACTGAGCCTCAGACTGGCAGAAGAATGCAAGGACCGGGCCAGAATGAAAACGCATTAGCAGAGATTCCTGTGGGCGAGGGAAAGGGAGTGTTGCTGTTTAGACTTAGTATCGATAGGACTTTTTTTTTTTTTAATGTCCAAAGCACTTCGTCAAAATTGGTTCAGACACCAACCAGTGTTAGAGGGAACTCACGGAGCCAGGGCTTCCAGGCGGAAGGAGAAAGTAGGCTTTCTCTGCGACCTTGGAGGGAGGTTTGACTGCTTTCCTAGTGGGAGCGGCCATACTCATGACCTTCCCGCCTCAAGTACGCCCTGTGGAAGATGCACAGACATCAGCACCCACAGGCCCCGCACTTGGGTTTGGGCTTTATCCCAGTGCCCTGGGCACTCTTAATGTGAAACAGTGAGCTTTCCTGCACTGCCAAGTCCTCAGCAAACTCTCCAAGAATGAGTATCGCAAAGGGAAGGCATGCCAATCAGAATCTGGGGCAGACACAGGGGCTTGGTGAGCAGTGGGAGAGCTCCCATGGCACCCATCACACACCTGGCAGCATCTGCCTCTATCACCTTACTCATTTAACCCTGGCCACATGCCCCTGAGGTGAGCAGTGTGATCACCCCATTTTAGGAAGAAGCCACAGCACAGAGAGCTTACTTTCCTGGTCACACTGCTGGTCACGGCAGGACCACACCTGAGACCTGGCAGGCTGGGGATGGAATCCATGACGTGGTTGCTCAGCTCAGCTTACACCGAGATCAACCTCTCACAGGACAGCCGCTGTTTACCAAACACTTACTAGGAGCTGGGTGCTATGCTGCTTGCGTTAAAAGTATTTCATCTCCCAGCACCCTATAGTGTCCTCATTTAATAAATGGGGAAACCACTAACATTGCCAATTAATGCACAGACTTCTCACGGCACTGCACTCCATCGGAAAGTCAGTGACTGCTTTTTGCGGTCCTGCTGCTTCTGTCTGTGCAACAGATCCTGCACATTTGCATTGCAGCTGATTCTTTCCAACAGGCTGGGAAGGGGAAAATAACTTGCCCAGGGTCAAGCGGTGCGTATGGGGCAGAGCTGGGGTCTGTCTAGATCTGACCTGCTTTGAATGGCTGTGCTATACCATACTATTAGCTACTAACGCACTTCTCCAAACCCAAACCCAACTTTTGGAGCTCGGGGGAACTGTGTTACACACCTGTCCTCCTAGCTGCCTCTTTCTCTCGCCACAAAGCACCTTGGTCTAGTAGCCGGGCTGCTGCAGGTATGCCTCTGAAAACCCACCTCTCCTCCCTTCTCACTTCCCCGTGGAAGATCACAGCAGGATGCGCAGTGTTTGCTGACACTAATTCTGCAATTTCCCAAACAAATGGCCCCCCTGTGGGCCTGCCAGGCTCCCAGCTTGGTCCACCTCCTTCCCCTCCATGAAGCCAGCTGGAGTGCTGGAAGGTGACAGCATTGAAAGAGGCTTCCAAGGGCTGTTTCGTGCTGGGCAAACCCAGATGTTCCAGATGATGGTAAACAAGCAAATGAGGCAGCTGAGGATTGCACCTCACAGTCGTTAGTCCCTCGCCCATCCACTTCCTCGGCCACCCAGCTGTTAGGCCACATGTGCCACCAGAAGGGAGCTGGCCTCACCACAGGCTGCCCAGGCATGGATGTGGGTACTGAAACACAGAGATTTGATGGGAATTAAATGGGCTGCTCTGGTTACCAAGAGTTCCTTTTCTTTTTCTTTTTTCCTTCTCTAAAGCTTGAGAAACATCAAACTAGAAACAAAGCCAGTCCTCCTGTTATCCCCACTTCATGTGGTTTCAACCTGTCACCAGCCAGCTATCTCAGGCACCAGCTAGGACTCCCCATCTTGCCAACCACCTGCTTTTTTTTTTTTCCAAAGTGCCCAATCAAACATGAGTTTTAACAAAGATTTCACCAAATGAAATTAGAGTAGGCTTTGTTCCAGAATTCCAAAATCTGTCATGTCCATATCTTGCCTGGCCCTGAGGTCTAGATGACGCTGGTGTCCCAAACTAGGCCACCTGATATTTACACTTTCTTAGGAGATTTGGAGAGAAGACAGACTTGGCTGCCTTGGATTTTGTCTTTCTTTTTTTTTTTTTTTGTAAGCAAAGCTAAACATAATTAACAGCTATCAGGAATTAAGCAATTCTATGTACAGGACAATCTACATATATTATCTTCAATCCGGACAACACAGGGAGACTTTTTTTCTGCCATTTTACAGAGAGCAANTGGGAAACTCGAGAAGTTATTCCATCAATGAACTATGCAGTCAACTCAACCCAACAGATTGGGAGGCAACGCCTTTGGGAGAGTGTTGGATGGCTGAAGACTACGAATATCCCAATTTGATTTTTGTCCCCTTTATAATTCAGCTTCTGAAGCCTATAAACCAAGTCTCCTTCTATAACGTGATCACACTGAACCTCTCACCTATCCTTTGCAGATAAATGCTTCATGGCCGTGGAGTGCGTCCTCCTCTAAGAGTATGACTTCCCAGATAGGTCAGGGTAGGAAGCACTGATGATAAGCTTGCAAACGAGTTAACACATTTAAATCCAAAATATTCTAGAGGCTTCCTCCAAAGCCACCGACATGACCAGACCCTGCCTTGGCTTGCAGGGTAATTAGCCAAAAGTGACACTGTGCTTAAGAAATTAATAACCTTCTAATCTAGTCCTGTGACAAGTCAACTGAGAAATTAGAAAGATCAATCATCTTCCAGCTGTGTTCTGTTTGAATGTATCCAAACACGAGAGCAACCCATATTAACTCCCTCTCCAAGTGACTAAATCAACACTAGGCTGTGGGCTGTGAGCACCTCCTGGGCGTCCTCCCCATGCAGCATGTACAATTACTCTAATGGAAGAATCATCCTGATGTTGGTAAATATGGGTCAATGACCCAGAAGTCATTAATTGACCTTATTTGTAGTTACATTGAGAAGAATACCATTTGTAAGTTCAAATGAGAGCTACTATGATAAAGCCATCATTTAAAAAGCATACTGATTGGATTTGGGTATGTTCTTAGCAAGATACAAGATTTAGAATTTATAAATATTTCATGGCATTAAAACATACGTTATGATTCCCTATGGTCATTGTTGAAGAAAGATAAAGACTCTGTTCTATATAGAGGAATACATAATCATAGTTTTCAGTGGCAAGAATCAGCGCCGTGTTGGCAATGACGCTGCCCTTTACTGGGTGACCTTGGGTCAGCTGATTAAACTCTCTGAGCTTCAGTTTCCACATCTGTAAATGGGAGAAAGCAGTGGCTGCTTCACTGGGTTGTTGAGAAGGTTAAGTGAGATAATGAACTTAAAGAACGTACGTTGTGCCTAGCATGTAGCAGGCAGTCATCAAACGTTTCTATCACTACGAGCAGAGGTACAAATGAGGCTCATGTTAACACAACTTGAACTGTCTGTTCTCTCCATTTACCAATTACATATTTGTGTAAACATGTGTAAGCAGAGCTCTTTCATGATAAATGCTTGTGATTTGGTCTTTATATAAGAACCTCAAATCCAGGACTTCTTTTGTCAGGCTCCACACAGTGGCTTGGAGAGAGCTAATTACACGTTTACTGAATTCTGATTGAAATAGGAAATAAGTCCAGTTAAGGGTCTAGTTCCTTAATCCAGGCAACAGGTGTGACTCGAGACCCACAAAGGACACTATGACA